TGATGCTGCTATGTGTATAATAAATATAAATTTTTGTACTTTGTAAAATTTTGGTGTGTCTAGCTTGGCACCTGTAGCTCAGTGGCTGTGGCGCCAGCTACATACACCCGAGGTGGTAGGTTCAAATCTAGCTTTGGTCTGCCAAAAACATTGACAACTATCAGCAAAAAATTACTGGTATTGTGGTGGGCATCTGTAGTCCCAGCTACTTGGGAGGCTGAGGCAGGAGAATTGCTTAAGTCCAAGAGTTGGAGGTTGCTGTGAACTGTGATGCTACAGCACTCTAACCAGGGTGACGTAGTGAGACTATCTCCAAAAAAAAAAAAAAAATTTTTTTTTTTGGAGTTATCTGTTCAGTGAATCATGTCCTTAAAATTGAAGAAATAAAATGCTTTCTAAGTAATAGAAATGTTTATGTTCATATGTGCTTCATTTTTGAGCTATTTTAGAAAAAAATCTATAAACGTTTTAAATTTTTTTCATAGTATTTATTCAAGTGAAAATCAAGTTAGAGGTTTTTTTTTCACTTTAATCTGACTTAAATTGGTTTTCTGTTTACTTCTTAAAAAATGTTTTAATTCTATTTTTCTCTTTTCATTGGATTTTTCAGTTTCTTTGATAGCATTTACCACTATGGCTTTATTAACCATTATGGAATTCTCAGTATATCAAGACACATGGATGAAGTATGAATATGAAGTAGATAAGGATTTTTCTAGGTAACTTATTTTTTTCTTATTGAAATACCTTTAGATTTATACTTTGTTTTACGTTAACCCTTTAAACTTTATTCACTTACTTTAGTTCTGAAGAAAAGAGTCCTGAAAAATTCTTAAATATTGTATAATTTATGCATTCAGTAAAACATTTTAGAATCATTCAAATACTGGCTGAATACTAAAATAGTATGTTTTTTATTTAAAATGTATTTGTTCAAAAAGGGTGGGAGAACATAGCTTTTTCCTGAGATGTGGATACCATAGAAATTGTTGAATATTTGAAATTGAAATATCTTATTTGTATGAAATGGAAAATAAATTATCTAATGATACATTATATATATTTATGATTTGATTTCTATAAATTATATCTAAGCTTAACTTTTATGTAAATAATATTACTTTTAAACTTTCTAAAATATGGTACCTAATTAAGAGACAAAACATACTTTACATTTATTCATTTGTATTATTTGGGGTTTTAGTGGATTGAAGATAACGTGTTTATAATGTTAAGCTTGCACCAGATAGGGAGGCACATTTAGTTCTGGCTCTACCATTTACTAGCTACGTGACTTCAGGAAAGTTACTAAATCTTTGTCTGTGTATGATTGAGTTTACTTTTCTGAAAATGGAGATGATTATTATAATACCTTCCTCATGGGGTTTATGAGAATTAAATTAGTCAATATTTATAAAATTTGTGTAACTTTGGGCAAGGCACACAACTGATGACTTTTAAAAGGGCTTCAGTTTCTTCATCTGTAATAGTTTTCAAGGAATGTGTTCTTTTTATTTTATTAGTTTTTATCACCATTTAAGAGTGGTGGGGATGCCCAGAAAACTGTCTATCTGGCCTTCTCCTCTGGTTCCTACAGCATCTCCTGGGCCTAACCCCCTGGCTTACTTGAGCAGAGTCTGAACTCTAGATGACTTAAGACTTTATGAAGCTTTAAAAATTTGTAATTTCTTTTGAAATCACATCAGAATTATCAGAGTGGAAAAGTGTTGGTAGGAAACAGAGGACTGAATTTGATTATACATTCTGTTATTCATAATGCTTATTTAATTCTGGTATTTGAAATTAATTTGAACTAACCATTTGAAAATAAAATATTGGTTCAGCCTTTTTAAAAGACTGTACAAAACTTTAAGTAGCAGAGGATTTTTTCCTAGTAGCTAGTTGCACTTATCCTGAGTTACACAGTCCAATATGCTATGTTAGTGATTCCATGATCTTAAGCCAGGCATTTATACTTCTTTGAATGTCATTGGTTTACTTGAGAAACTGTGAAACCATCCACTTATATCTCCATGTTATAGAATAAAGAAGATAACATTTAGGGCATCTATCATAATGTATGGGATTTGTTTGATAAATGGAAGAGAAAGACTCAACAGTTCATAATTACTGACTTTGAAAGTTTAGGCATAGTCTATTAAAAGTTTATTTAAATAGAGGTCAAGACTTTTCGAAGTTCCTTGGAGTTGTTGATTGTAGAATTGCCATTATTGAATTAAAGGATACTATGTTTAAAGCCTGTGAAATTAGAAAGGTTTTGGGAATAATAGCAAAACAGAACTTTTCTTTAAAGTGCCTGTGTTTTGGCTGTAAGAAATCCAATGCAAGTTCTACTCAGCATAATTTTATTGTTTGAAGTCCAACTTTTTCATCTGTCTGTTGATTTATATTTCTCTGGTTTTGCTGATTAATTGGTAGATGCTAATGTTTAATGTTTTATCTTTTAGCAAATTGAGAATCAATATAGATATTACTGTTGCCATGAAGTGTCAATGTAAGTATATCTTCAACTTGATGAACTATATGTAGTGTGGCTCAAGAAATTGCCAATAAAAAGTAAAAACTAGTTGCATTTTAACTATATTTTTTCTTTATAATACTTTAAAATTTTGCTGTGCTGTTATTCAATAATGCAAATTGTTTTACTCCTCAGCTGATATTCTTTGTTTCTTTTCTTTAAGGAAAAGAGATTTAACTTTCATGTTAGTATAATTAAAATAAAGGGAAATCAGAGGATACTCAACTTTGGTGAATCAGAGACCTACCTTGCATACATCCTGTTTTTCTTCTTGTTTGGAGTACCAGTTTTTACACTGTGTTCCATAGAACTATCTTGTTTCACTGTTTTAGTTTCCCAATCTTTACTTCTGTTCTTAAATTTTAAAATACAGATCCAGTTCTTTTCTTCATCGGCTTCACTGATTATGCTGGTGGAAGGGGAAAAATATTAATGCCAGATAGAAAATGTTTCAGTCAGTATTACTCTCAAAAGTAAGAATGCTTTTGCACAAAAAATATGTTTTAAGTTACTGTCTGAAAATTATAAAGTACTCATTAGTTCAGACAAAATTTTTTGAAGTTTGAAATAATTTTACCCACTCAAGAAATTAGTTACTGTGGGATTTAATCTCAAAACAACTTCTTTTCTTTTCCATTCATTTTTTTTTCTTACATTGGTGGTTTTAAGGTTTAATGATATAACTTTTATCTAATTTTGAGTTAGTGTTAATACTGACATTTTGTATTTTGCTTAATTTGGATGTTTGAATACCATTAAAATTTTAGTTTTTTCAAAATAAAATATTCTATTTGTAGATTTCTTAAAGACATCTGTAATATTTTCTTAAGATTTCTTTTAATCTCTAAAAATAATTCTCATAGTTTGTTCAAGAGCCATTTCGTACTTGTGATTAAGTTCTTGCCAGTTTTCTAAAACTCATTTAATTCAGTAAAGCTTTTGCTTTTTATCATGGGATTCTGGATTGTCAAGTGGTTCAACATACTTTGTGAGTTTCTGTTGTTCTTAACTTGTTTATATTGGATATAGTTTGGCTCTAGTCATAGAGTATAAAACTTCTAATATTTTGTATGCAGATGTTGGAGCAGACGTATTGGATTTAGCAGAAACAATGGTTGCATCTGCAGATGGTCTAGTTTATGAACCAGTAAGTTTGATTCACATAGTTTTTGAAATACATGCTTTGAGGAATTGTACCCTTATAGGCAGTTTTGATAATTACTTTTATTATAGTTTTGTCTGAGCTAGCTTTTCATATAATTTTTTTGTATTTCAAAAGTATTTTATATCCTTTGAAAAAAAAATTAGAAGAGAAAAAAGTTATGTCTATTATCAAAATCATTGTTAACATTTTTGGTGACGCTAAAGTCTAGTTTATGACTTTATTGTATATTGTTTGTTAATGCTTCATAATTGTTTTCTCTTCTCTTGTAGTTATTATGATGAATTTTTTTTATTTTTCTCTAAGGATTTGGAAACTTACATTCTATTTATATTCTACTATTACCAAATTTAAGTCTTGAAAAATAAATTTTGCGTATAATCAAGAATGAAGTTTATCTTTCTAAGAGGAAAAAATCATGGGCATTTACATTTTTCTTTTGTACCTCTATTTCCCAAAGCTTGTGGAATGCTGACATTCTCTTATTATCTTCAAAACACCAGTTGTGTATAGTATAATAGATTTCTTAAAGGCATCTGTAATATTTATCAGGAAACACCATCAGATTCTAGGGGCAAGTACAGAGATAACAAGTTTGATCAGAACTAGTCCTAAAGAAGCTTCTGATAATGAGCGTGGAACCCCACACTCTTCAACTTGGAGACTGCCCTGTTGGCATGGTGATGCTTATGTTTACACATGCGTTCTTGAGTTCTTTTGTTTCTCATTGACAGTTAAGAACCCTTCTGTAAGCAAAATTGCAAAATGAAGTCTAATGAAGGAAAAAAAAGAAGCCCTTGGCCAGTTTAGATTACTGCGTTATTTTTAGTTTACAGCAACAAAATACATGTATGCTTTCTGATAAACACTTTTTGAGTAGAAATTTCTGTAGAAAAAGTAACTTTGTTATTGCTACTCTGACCCTCTACTTCCTGACTCTTGTTTTCCTACTCTAAGAATTGATTTTATAGTAATTTTTTATGAGGTTAGATACCCTACAAATTCATGTTACGGAATATTAAACTATTGTCTGGAAATTAAGATCTAATTATTATTGGATACTTTAACATTTGCGTTATATTCTGTACTATTGTAAGAATGATTATTCAGCTTGAATTCTATTTTATTGCTTTTATTTTCTATCTTTGTTACTTCATTTTTACTCATTATTTTGTGGAGAGACGCATTGAGATTTCTTTTTCAACAAGAATATGTGGGTTATGTTTCATGGACACTAGCGTGACTGCCCATGTCTTTCTGTGCTTAGTATCTTTTATCACCCGTCCCCTGTTGCTCTGAACTGGGAAACCTTTTCACTTGCTGCTTTGGGGGTTTTTCTATACTATGAAATAATATTGTTTTGGGTTCTTTCTCATTTTGGTTTCCCTTATATGCTGTTTTGCATAAATTCTCAAAAGTTTCCAGCATATTAATGATAATTTTAAATAATTTACAGCAATGATGAAGATTATATCTTCTTTTTTTTGTTTCTCTGGACACTGTAAGAATTTGGTAATGAAGGGGCTTAAAGAGTTTATATGTTATCTTGAACTTATTCTCTAAAATTTACTTATACTATTTCTGTAGTATTTTCTCTGTATTTTGTACTCCTTTTTTTCTCATTTATTAAGCTTCTAATTTTGTTTTATCATTTTTTTCTGGATCTCTAATCTCTCCTGTTGGATTTTAAGAGTGAGACCCCCTCATCTCTAAAAATAGCCAGGGATTGTGGAGGGGGCCTATAATCCCAGCTACTCTGGAGACGGAGGCAGGAAAATCACTGGAGCCCAAGAGTTTGAGGTTGCTATGAGCTTTGATAGCATAGCACTCTACTGAGGGTGACAAAGTGAGACTCCATCTCAAAAAAAAAAAAAAGTAAACCAGAAAGTTAGGACTTTCAGAATATTTAATTATATACTTTCATTGTAATATTTAGAATGTTTAACAGTGTTTTTAGGAAAATATTAATTTCTTTGTTCTAATTTATAGAAAGTATTTAAGAATTTATACTTAAATCCTTTTCTAGTATAAAACTATTTATGATATAATTTTAACTTTTAAAACTTATTTTATATTCTGATTATTTTAATAAGCATTCTGGATATTAAGAACATAACCTTATAACTTTATTAGTATGCTATGTGATAGTTACTATTTTGTTATTTAGTATTACATTTAGCTTCTATTTCTTTAAAGATGGAAAAGTGAGGAATCTAACAGGTAGGTTTATATATTGACCTTACTGTGACTTTGGAGAAAGTTCGTAGCCCTTTGAGCTCCTGCTTCCTCATGTGCTAAAAGGGAAGAGTAGTAACAAACTCACAAGGTTGTTAAGTGAGATGATGAATTAGCAGAGTTCTTTACACTAAGCGCTAAATATGCACAACTTTAAGCAAGTTGAGGAATTCAAAGGAGGAGTCATGGTTCCCACTGTCAATAGTTTTACTTACAAGTGAGTTGGGGAGCAGCTGCCTCAGCCTCAGCCTCCTGTGTTTGCCTTTGTAGATGTTAGCACTTTCCCTTTGTGTCAGGAGGTGAGAAAGGTATGGAAGTGTGCTGTCAACAGTTTATCAACAGGAGTAGTCAAAGCAAACGCCATAAACTTGGGGACAAGTTAACTCGCAGCATATGTTCGCATAGAATTTTGAGAGACAGCATACACTTAAGGAGAGGAAAGTTCCAGATCAGTATAATTAAATTACCAGAATCACAGAGGTAGAGCTGTGGACTAACTTAGTAGACTATTTGTTGTAAAGTTAAATTGTGGATATTTATTTTAAAAATTGTGGATTTTATTTTGGTATTTTCTTAGTAAGAATACAGATTTTGGAAGCATGAGTATTATTCTTAAACTATATGCCCCCCCATACTTGTAAGTTTCTTGATAGCATCATTTAAATGATTCTAAGTCCTAGAGTATCATTTTGTACATATGATAGATTGTCAACTTACATTCACTCCTGTAAATGTAGGGAACTGTTACACAAAATTATCTGTGATTAGTAAAATTGATTTATGCTATTTTTGAGTAAAAATATCACATTCAAATTTTATAGTTATATCAAAAGAGATGAATGTAAACCGTGAATACTTATTTTTAATGACATAGTAAATTTCTGTTTCTTGCTCAAAGAAAATTTTTTAAAACTGATGAAAAGCCAAGAGAATTTGACAATGGTAGTGATCATATAATTTCTTTTATTTCAGGCAATATTTGATCTTTCACCACAGCAAAAAGAGTGGCAGAGGTAATAAGTGAAGAAAGTATTGTGGTCCATAGAAATCTAGATCATGTTTGTTTTGTCTATTGTAAACTATTTGTAGATTAACACATTTCTCTAGGGATCTCTTTAGATGAATTATTAGCAGAATTCAGTGTACAGGCAGTCTTTGGCTTATAAACAAGACAGTTCTGTAGGTTTGTTCTTAAGTTAAATTTGTATGTAAGTTGAAACAGGAACATTTACCTATCACCTGTAATAGCCTACATGTGTAAGCACCAGTTGTGCATCAGTCGTTTGTAACACAGGGACTTACTGTAATAGCCTCCGTAAATAAGTGTGAGTTGTACCCAAGTCACACGTTTGTAACTCAGGGACTACCTGTATGATATAATCTTTATAGTATCAAAAACCATATCCAATCTTAGGAAAGTCATGCATAGTCTTTTTCACTAGTACACTTTGAATCACAAATAAATTCTATTTTTTATTAAAAATTTTATTAACTTAAATTTTTGTTATAAAAGTATATATGATCGTTATTTAAAATTCAATTTGAATAGAAAGGATATAAGGAAAAATAAAAGTCCAGTCCTCATTCTATAAACTAGTGCCATCGACTAGCAGCAGTAACCAGACTTAAGCTTCTTGTGTAGCCTTCTAGAAATCCTTACATATTTTTTTCCTAATACAGATGTGATCAGACATTTATTCTATAGTGTGCTTTTTTCGACATCTCATTTTGGTGTATATAATAGGCCTTTTTTATGCATAGACTATAGTTTATTTAAATTGATCTCTATTAATAGGTATGTAGATTGTTTCCAGAATTCTAATTACAGAAACATGACTTGTCTTCAAAACAGTGTTGGATGAAAGAAAAAGAAAAAACAGAATTATTCAGTGAACATCCTTGAACTAATTCCATGCCTACTTGTGTTAATGTATTACATATGTGTGTGTTTATATGTGTATGGAAAATTTCTAGAAATAGAATTTCCCTTTCTGAGGATATTTAATTTAACATTTTGATGGTGTCATATATCTTCCCAAATTATTGTTTCACTTATACTCCAGAATTTATGAGAATGCTTGTTTCTCTACAACCTCACTAACAATAAACTCATGCTTTTCAAAGTTTTTGCTACTTTGATGAGTGAAAATTGGTATTGTATTTGTTTTATGTATTAACATTTCTTTATGAATTAGTTTAATATCATTGTGGGTTTCTTTTCCTCATCGTTATTTGTGTATTGAAACTGGTCTTGCTATATACCTGTTTTTCCTGGTTTAGTATATTAAAGAAATTAATCCTTTGTTATAAGAGCTGCCTTTTCTCTACCCCATGTATGGCTCCCCCCCTTTTGGTTTCCAGGATATATCTTGCACTTAGAAAGGCTTTATCTATTTTAAGATTATTATAAAAAATTTTTATTTCCTCATTTTTTCCCCTAGTATCTTAGTATATTCCAGGGTTCTTTTTCTTTTAATTTCCAATGTCACCATTTGGAGGAGTTTTAATATGAAAGTTGAAATTGAATATGGGTGAACAAAAGCACTAAATATTAGATGTCTCTGGGCTTTTGACACTAAGCAGGAAACCATTCACAGATTGAAACACTTTAAGCCAGGAATATTAAAGTGAGATTTTGCCTTTCATCTGGAATTCCTATTTAGTGTTCAAGACTGGTAGTAAGTAGGAAAAGAGACTGTTTTTACTCTTAAAATGATAATGGTTTTCTATCATAGTAATGTTTTCTACATACCTTCACATGGAGAATATAGGTTTGGGTGTTTATTGGAATATCAAAGGCAGAAATTTCTTTCATGTGCACAACAAACACACACAAACGTACACATATATACAGTTTGGTGTCATCAATCTCCTTGACCACTGCCCTGCAACACTTAAAAATATGAAGCTTTCAGTGTCTGCTGGCATTGGAGCCAAAGATTTTAAGTCTTTAGATGTATAACCTGAAGATGAATTACATCTGGCTTCTTGAAGCGTCCTATGTTGCTATGTTTTGCTTCTAAACATTCTTTAGTAGCTCCAATAACCAACCTTTATACTTCCTGAATAATGTGCATACCAAGGTGTTCTTTACCTCTAGAGTTTGCTTAGAGATTTAAATTTTGACTCAGTTGGTGTTCTACTTTCTTAAAATATTTAGGATCCCACTTGATCTTTCTTTAACAGTAAATTTCAAGCCCTGGACAGAACCTTTCTTTTTTTTGGACAGAGCCATTTTGGTTTCTGCATTTTATGTCTAGATTTAAAATTTACTTCAAAAATAAATTTAAAATAGAAATATGACTTGTTATTTTAAATGCCTGTTTTACCTATGTTCTAGATGATGCTACATACATATTTTATCTTACATTTGCATTTCTAGGAAATGCTTATTTTATCATTATGGTAGGGTGATGTATTATCAGATGTACAGATGTTTACTTTCTTTTTGTATCTATGTTCATAATTTTTTCCAGTTTTATATGTATACATTTTAATTGGCTTTTTTTTTTTTAAGAGTGATGATGAGTTTCATGGCAAAACTGAGCTGAAAGTACAGAGTTCTCATATACCCCTCCCCCTGCCCCCCACAGGCTCATTCATTATCAGTATCCACATGAGTGAATACAGTTGTTATGACCTGTGAGCCTACCTTGACACATCGTCACCATTCAGAGTCCACAGTTTACATTAGGGTTCACTCTTACTGTTGTACATTCTGTGAGTTTTGATGAACGTATAATGGCATGTATCCACCACTGTAGTGCATACAGAGTAGTTTGACTGCCTCAAACATCTGTGCTCCACCTGTTCATTCCTCCCTCCCCGCTGTGTATAAAGGTTATACTTGCTAAATGGGAACATTACTACTGATACTTGGAGTATTAGTTATTTAAAGAAGTAGAATTAAAGGAGGTTAAATAATATTACGTGTAATGATACAAAGTTATTGCTGAAAATGATAGGCAATAACATAGCCCAATGTTAGAAGTGCTAGAAAGAGGAAAAATTTTGTAATGGGAATTAGATGTCTGTGGTGTGTGAGTTTATACTCTGGTAATCTACTTCTTCAAGTCCATCATAACTGTGTGACCATAATTTCCTATTTGAGTCTTCTATTCATCTTTTTGTGTGTGTCTACACTACTTAAATTAATGCCTGACAGAATTTTTTAATTATACATGCATACATAAAAAATGAATTTAGATACTCAGCTAAGCCCTTGGTTACCCTGACTGTACATCCATTATTGATTGAATCAGGTTCGTGAGCTCAGGGAGCAGGCGACTAGCCACCATCCTTCACTTTTTCTGCTTCCAAGGTGTAATGACCAAAGAAAACTTGGTACATTATTTTAGAATAAGATCCTATAATAATATAATAACATTATATAATGTAATAAGTATAAATTCTGGCTTAACTAAAGTCAGCTGACTATTGTTAGTTTGGAATAAGTCTTGGCTGTCTTGGTGTACTTTACTGTGGTTCTAAACTCTTGTTTCTTTGTTTTGTATTTAGGATGTTGCAGCTGATTCAGAGTCGGCTGCAAGAAGAACATTCACTTCAAGATGTGATATTTAAAAGTGCTTTTAAAACTGCATCAACAGCACTTCCACCAAGGTGAGACCTATATTTTAAATGTGCAGCTATTTACTATGAATATACTTTGACATAGTTTTAATATTGGTTTGGTTTTCTGAATCTTATTTTTCTTAGCTGAAATAGAATCATTCTGTACTATGAAGATGTCTTTTAAATTCATTTAATTCATTTTCTTTTTTATGGGTGCTGTATACTACCATATAAAATTGTATTAGATTTTAAGAACAAATTAGTTGTTTATATTATTACAAGGATATATCAACTTCGATTAGGAATTTGGGGGTTTTTTTTTTTGTTTGTTTGTTTTGAGACAGAGCCTCAAGCTGTTGCCCTGGGTAGAGTACCATGGCATCACAGCTCACAGCAACCTCCAACTCCTGGGCTCAAGTGAGTCTCCTGCCTCTGCCTCCCCAAGTAGCTGGGACCACAGGCACCCGCTACAACGCCCGGCTATTTTTTGGTTGCAGCCGTCATTGTTGTTTGGCAGGCCCGGACTGGATTTGAACCCGCCAGCTCAGCCACAGGTGCTGAGCCAGAATTTGGGTTTTTTTATTTCACTTTTTTTGTTATAGATTAGCTGATACTTGAATATGCTACGGTCATGAAACTGGTAATTTGAATTTAGAAATATATAGAGATTTTGTGTTTTCTTAGGAACAAAATGTCAGTTTGTTTGATCATAGTTGGCATGCCCTTCGCCTTCCTTCACCTTACTCCTGTCCTCCCTCCCCCTATGGTGCCAGGTATAAATGAACATAATATGTCTTTTGGACTAATTCTTTGGTTTTAACCTTCTTTTGTCATTGGATTTAGGCCTCTGGTTAGATTTAAAGAGCCATGGAATTTTATTATTTAAATATAATCGAGGTGAAATAATTAATTTTTCCTGTGTTGTAGGTGTATAATTTCTATAAATGTATAGACTTCAAGTAACTGCTTTTCTATTTTGCCATTACCTAAAAATTGATCTTTTTTCTTTTTTTGAGACAGAGTCTCACTATTACCCTCCGTAGAGTGCTGTGCCATCATAGCTCACACAACCTCAAACTCTTGGGCTTAAGCCATTCTCTTGCCTCAGTCTCCCAAGTAGCTGGGACTACAAGTGCCTGCCATAATGCCTGGCTATTTTTTATTGTTGTTGTTGTTGTAATTGTGGTTTAGCAGACCCAGGCCAGGTTTAAACCTACTAGCAACGGTGTATGTGGCTGGCACCCTAACTGCCACTGAGCTATGGACATCAAGCCTAAAAATTGATCTTTAGGGATTTTTTTCCTCTGGTATGTAATTTTCTCACTACAAACTTATAATGATTTTGAATATGCTTTAAAATAATCTCAATATCTCTTGTTTTAACAGGGAAGATAATCCATCACAATCTCCAGATGCATGTAGAATTTCTGGTCATTTATATGTCAATAAAGTAGCAGGGAATTTTCACATAACTGTGGGCAAGTATGTTCTTTTCACTTACTGAAAATACTTTAGACAAGGTTGAGGCTTGGTTAAAGTAAATTCTTTGCTAACTAAATAATATATAGCTAATTATTGTTTAAAATGTTTTGTATTTATATTTTTAATGTCTTGAGATTGATGTTTTGAGTTTTAATCTCAGGATAGAGAAGAACACTAACTAAAAAACTAAAACCAAAAGCAAAGCAATGATGTCATATTTTATATGCCAAAGTAAATATTAATTAAAACATTCTACTTGCCAACTTTTAGTAGCCAGAATGATTTTACCAAGACATTTTGTTAATTTATACATTTTGTTGATATGATATTAAGTTCTTGTGAGTTTTTTAAGTTTTTGTTCTGTTTAACCTTATAATCAAAATATAGTAATTCCTCACCAATTTTAGATACATGATATTAAGTTCTTATGGTCTTTTTAAGTTTTTGTTTTAACCTTGTAATCATCAAACTATAATAATCCCTAAGCAATTTTAGACAAGTATTTTGATACAGTTTGAAATTCTTAGTGTCTGGAATAAAGTTAAATTAGTTAAAATTCAAAAAAATTGCAGATCATTTACTTTCTTGAGTATCCCACACTGAATTATCATTAACACTTGATACATTCCCAAATGAATTAATAGATCCCTTCCTCCTTCCCCCTTTTTCATTCTATAAGACATTTTTTTGAGTACTTGCTACGTGCAAAATGCCATGCTGGATACTAAGACTAAAACACTGAAAAAATAGAAAAGGTTTTTGCACTTAGGATGGTAACATTGTGTAAGAGATTCCAAACTTTCAGCAGTGAACACACTAATAATTATTTAGTTACAATTGTATTGAGGCTATAAAGTAGAAGTGTAGCTGATAAGAGACTATATATAACAAGGTATTTGACTTACTCTGCTTTTCAGCAGAGGTTTTTTTGAGAAAAACCTTTGAACATGAGTAGAGGATTAAGAATTTAATATTTAAAGGAGGAGAAGGGCATATCCCAAGAAGGAGCATGGCTGGAGGATTTTTTAACAGAGACATAATATTAGATTTATTAAAAAGTATTTCAGTGTTTACATGATCAGATTGAACATCTATTTTTATTCTTCATTTTCCCTCTATCCTTAAAATTCATGTTTTGTTGTTTTGTTACTATTACCCATCTCCAACCCATTGTCTTGCTGGGAACCTTAGAATTTCTTCCTATCATAGAGGCAACAAATAACAGTTGGCTTAAAAAAAATTAGATTTCATTGCACCTGTGGATACAAACAATATTCTAATCCAAAACTAACTCGAAATTGCTTCTCAGACTTTTGGCTATGATCAAGTGGTTATTCCTGTTCTCATTTATACCATCACTCTATCATTGTTCCTATTATAGTTTTCAAACAAACAAATCTGGAGAGAGGAATTTTTCTGAATAACCAAATTGCAGTATTATAGGTTGATATCCCTTATCCAAAATGCATAGCATTTTGGTTAAAGAAGGAAACTTTGACAAATATTGTGTGAGCCTCTTTATTATGGCCTTTTTGTTTGCTTTTTGTTTGTTTGCTTTTTTAATCTTTTCCTAGGATCTCTTCTTTCTCCAGAGGTAACTCCATATGAGTTAGAGAGGTTAAATGAAAAGCATTTGGTTTGTATCTTATCTGAGGGGTGTCCTATAAACCCACCCCTAATTTTAGGGTATTAAGTTTGTCAAGTTCAATATTGATCTTTTTAAAGATCTCATGTTAACCTCTCAAATATGTCATTCTCAACTGTAATGTAAAAGAGTAATAAAAAAAGAACGTACTTTATAATGTAATATATATTTCAATTTGCTTGAGCATGGATACACTAAAAGCCATAATGAAGTAGGCAGATGCTTGCTGCTTACATACAGAATCACTAGACATACAACAGCTGCAAATGCAGACTGAAACAGATGCATCTGGCCACTCAATACCATGAGATGATATTCTGAAATTGTGTTATTTGTAATACTGTGAATAAAAACAGAGTATAGCTTAGTTTTCTGGGAAATTTAGTGTATATTGAAACCACAACAGATACTTTATATAGACAAATGGAGGTAAGTTGTAGACTTGCATCATTATAAATAGGTTTTTCACATCCATCAGTATCTCTTAGAGCTTTTGAAAGCCACGCAAGACCTGGGGCAGTTGTTTTTTGCTGTGACTGCCAGTTTCATTGCAGGGTATGTTGCCTTCCTGGCTGTTGTCCAGTTAATGCCGAAAGCAACCTCTCCCCAGTAATTGTAGCAACCCAGAATGCCTCCTGCCTCCCTTCACGCCCTAACAATTTTCAGAACAATTTTCCTCCACTGAAAATCACTCAAGCTAGATTCTTGTCTGATGAGATAGAAAATAAAATGTCTCAGAAAGGAAATAAATGAATTCTGAATATCTGGTATCCCTAGGAAGAGTTTTAACAAGTATCAGAGAACTACAGTCATCTGTATCGCGGCTATCTAATCTGATTTTAGGCTTTTAATTTTTTGAAGAAGATGCTTGCTTGTGATATTATTTCATAAATGTTGTAAATATGTCTTTTAACCAAAAAATGAGAAAGAAGGACGTATATATTCAAATAGGTTTCCCTCTCAGTAAAATCTAGGGTGATGAGAGAGACGATTGATGTATTCCTAATCCACAACTCTGAAATTTGAAATGCTCCAAAATGCAAAACTTTGTGTTGCATGATGTTCAGAGGAAATGCTCGTTGGAGCAGTTCACATTTTGGATTTTCAGATCAGGGATTTCCAACCAGTAAGTAGGATGCAAACATTTGAAATCCAAAACTCTTCTGGTGCTGTGCATTTTGGATAAGGGATATCAACCTATAATACTGCAATTTGGTTATTTAGAAAAATTTCTGTCCAGATTTCTTTGTTTGAAAACTAACGTGGAAACACTGATAGAGTCGTAGTGTAAGTGAGGATAGGAAGAGCTATCACGTTGGGCTTTCTTTTTCGTATTGATTTTGAGGCAATGTAGTTCACCGTGGACAGAGGGAACTTTACCGCACCAAACTACCAGATATTCTCATGCATAAGGGGACAGTTTATTGCACACCATTTCAGTGTTCTTTGTATTAGATGTTAACACATTTTCCTAACCATTACATTGCCTTTGAAAACCATTACATTGCCTAGTGGTCTGCCAGATATCATTTAGAACAAATTCAATATTTAGACCTACTGTGGCAGGAGCATCCAAACTTTTTTTTTTCCTTGCCGCACATTGGAAAAATAAAAGTTGTCTTGGATCACGCAGTAAATACACAAACACTAATGGAAGCTGATTAGTGAAACTTTTTGTGATATCTGACATCACAGATAAGCGAAAAAAAAGGTCCTCACAAGGGCAGCGTTTGTGGCTCAAAGGAGTAGGGTGCCAGCCCCATATACCCGAGGTGGCAGGTTCAAACTTGGCCCCAGCCAAAAACTGCAAAAAAAAAAAAAAAAGTCCTCATAAAATTAGCACGTACCTTGCAGGCCCAGATTTGACATGTATTAGGACATATTCTAAAACTTGACAGTGACCTTTTATTGGTTACAAATAAAGAATTATCTTTTATGGGAATTTTTTGCATTTATATTTTTAGTTAATGGCTAGAATTGGTAACTGGGTAGAATGAAGATAATTTAAGGAAATCTTCAAGAAGATATTTATTAATAGAATTTTTTTTCCTTTTTTTTTTTTTTTTTTGTCCAGGGCTGGGTTTGAACCCTCCATTTCTGGTATATAGGGCTGGCACCCTACTCCTTCAGCCACAGGCGCTGCCCTTAATAGAATACTTTTTAAACTAAGAAATTATTCTCAGAAATATAAAGGGAATATAAGAACAGGTTAAATTTGAGAGATAGCAATGTGTAGACAGCAAAGATTTATGGCAGGGGTGGGCAAACTATAGCCTATACATCAAATTTCTAGTGTGGCCCATTGGCTATGAAGAGTTTATGCATTTTTTAACTATTTGAAAAGAAATCAGAGGGGAATAATATACATGAAAAATGCATGAAATTTAAATGTCTGTGTCTGAAAATGAAGTTTTATTACAACATAGCCATGCTCAACATAGCCATGCATTTGTGTATGCATGGCTGCCTTCCCTACAGTGCCAGAGCTGCGTAACTCCAGCAGAGGGGGCGTGTGACTCCCTCATCACTTTGTGCTGCCATGCGGTGGCTACAGATTGCAGTGACACAGTTAGAACTTGACCTCATTCAAGTGCCATGTATGCTACATTGCAACATTTTGTATCTTGTGTTCAAAAAGCAAAAATACTGCAGACTTCAAATGTACTTTTAAAGAACATTTAAAAGTGGATTATTTGATCAAATTTGGCTACAGAACATTGTGTTTATTAAGCCACACTATTTAATGGTGCAAAAAGAATAAAAAATATGTTGATGTCATCAGGCTAAACACTCATGACAGTATTTTTAACTCATAGAAAATGGTTCAACTCACAGTAATGGTCAGAAAAATTAGAAAATTGAAATTGGAATATCTAAATACAATGGAATTTCTTCATAAAAAATAATGAAAATGAGACTGTAATCAAATTAAATTTCCGGGTGTCTCATTAGTTAACCAAGTAAAGGAAAGCCATGTCTTGATAAGTTAATGAAATAGTATTTGATTTCAACAGCTAAAGAAATCTATCCAGAGAAAACAAATTTGTATTACACAATCAGTCTTCTGCAAGGAAAGTATTCCGGTAGCTGAGGACATTGAGAGCAATATCTAATTGTCATTTAAAAACCAGGCAGGTGATTTCTAAGTGGTGGAATGATGTTTCTAAGCTTTAGTGAGTTGATTGATGTTACCAGGTACTGCTTATTGGTAATTTGAGGAATCAGTGCTGAATTTGAAATGGTTGATAAATTAGTGTCTATAAATAGCCTTCACAGAACAACCACAGGCAAGAGTATTTTTAAGGAATAGAGAGAGTACAAATTCAATACAGCCGAAAGTGGAATCTGGGACGCTATGTTATAACAGTTATAACTGATGATGATGTGTGGAGCAGAAAAACGCTTACCTAGATGCAGTTACCATCCTTGTGAAAAGGTAAGGTGTTCAAAGGCTGAGATTGAGATTATCCATCATATCATCAGCAGTACTTTGCAGAAGACATTTTAATTTATTCTGTAATTTGAATTGACAATGGTAATGGTGAACTTTATTTGCTCTCATAGACTTAAATACCATTTCTATGGATTTTAGTGAGAAATAAAAGCTGAATATTCCAACTTGCCTTACTCCCCAACAGCTTTATGGCTTAATGGTAGTAAAGTTTTATTGCAGTTTTTTTGAGGTCAGGGCCAAGATTGAAATTTTTCTGATGAGAAAACTATTACATAATATCAACTGCAATTATTGAATGCTGAATAGTTTTGGAAATTAAATTTTTACAGACTCAGTAATGTTTTTTAAGGAATTTAACCTAAATTATAAGGCAAAACCAGTACTTATATATGAAATTTATATTGTAATTATTTCAATGACAAGTAATTTAAGTAGATTTTGAATGGTTTCCTTTGCTTTTCATGCTTTGATAGCTTGTGCTGTTGAAAGTTAGAGCAAGAATCTCCATTCAAACTAGGGCCTGAAGAGTTCTCAGACCTTGATGCAAGTGTAAATGAAATTTACATGTTTCTAATGCGTTCTTAAACTGGAAATTATGAATCTGTAACGTAATGACATGGTTAGTCAAATACATGCCAAGAGAATCCAGTGGAGTTCTGTAAAGGCCTTCCAAGCAGTGAATGCTCAGCTCAAATGTATGTTCATCATTTAATATTGCCAAAGATGAAATCTATAAAAATTGATTATAGATCGTCATTAGCAGATAAACATTTACGATAAGTTTTGAAAATAGGGAACATTAACTCTAAACACCAATTAAGCAAAAAGTAATCTCCCTGCAAAACACTCATATTACAAAAAGTACTTAATTATGACCATTATATTTTGAATTTCATCAGTAAAAATTTGTGAAAATTTGAAACTAACTACATAATATACTTGATTTTGCACCGTGGCCCACAAAGCCTAAAATATTTACTATCTCTTTACAGAAAAGATTCACCAACACCCAATTATTACATTACTGAGATAACTATATTAGTCTGTTTACTCACAGGGCAAATACATTGTTATGTTATTTTATGTAATACTAAAAAAAATTATATACCCTAGGAAAGGTCCACTTTGTGATTTTAATCAGTTAATATTTAAATGATACTACTTTAATACTCTTTTCTCCTTTCAGGGCAATTCCACATCCTCGAGGTCATGCACATTTGGCAGCACTTGTCAACCATGACTGTAAGTGGTTTCTGAAGATTTTTTCAGTGACGATGTCCTTGAAAAAAAAGTAACATTTTGCAATAGATGGAACTAAAAAAAAAGTGACTTTTTTTTCAAGTATAGGTACAGGGTAGGGCTTTGAAAGTGAGCTGTTTTGACAACAGGTGTCCATCCAAAGGAGAAAATAAATTCATTTTTTCTTGTCTTAAAGCTACCTATATTTCTGTTTGGTTGTAGCTCAGAATTGCTTATGTTACAGAAGAAAGCCAAGGTATATTTTCTATAACTTTGTACACATTTCTGCTCATTTGAGGGGATATATTTGTAGTTTATTTCAATTTGTAAATCTAAACATTAGTGTATAGACATATTCATATAAGATATTAAAGTTAATTTGGTATAATGATTGCCATAGGACTTAAGTTTTAAAATGTACTTTACAAGACAAACCAAGTAATAGAGTCCATAAAACATTAGTTTGTTTATATTTAGCAATAGTGTGTATTAAAAATATATTTGATTAGTTTTGCTAGTTGGCTACATGGAAATGACCCCAGTTCTAGCAACACAGTCCTGTTACTGTATGATTTGAACCAGGAAAGGTGTATATTTCTGGCTTTCAGATCAGAATGGCAATATTTCTTTGAAGTTAATTTGTATGTAATTGTAAAATTTGAGATACAATATTTTATCAGAATTTATTTTTACACATTTTACTCCCACATGTTTATATGTATTTTTCTCAAAATAATGTGGTTTTAAATGCTATATTATTATACTTGAAGATTTTAAATATTTTCATTTGAAAATAGAATATAAACTAAGCTATAACATGTAGTTTTGAGGAATGCAATTTCTCTACTTAGTTTTTATTTTTTTCTTCTTAGCTTACAATTTTTCTCACAGAATAGATCATTTGTCTTTTGGAGAGCTTGTCCCAGGAATTATTAATCCTTTAGATGGAACTGAAAAAATTGCTATAGATCGTAAGTATTTAAAAGTTGCTATTGGAATTTACATGTAGGAACTTTGCTTATAACCTTAATATTAATATTTTTAATAACCTAATAAATTTTGAGTGGTTGGTGGGTGATATGTGTGTGGAGAGATTTCATCTAGTAGTTAACAAAATTTGAATGTTAAAAAATAAGCCACAAAATATATATAAGGAAGGTCAAGTTAAAAGTAGGCAGGAGGAAAAGAATTTAAATACTCAAAATACGTGAAAGGCTATGTGTTAATAGAATATAACTACATATTTTTTTCATATCCATGTAAAGAAAGAATAAGAACAAACTAAATTTGAAGATTATAAGAATTTTCTTGTCTGTATAGGTACAAAGTTCTCATTGTGTTTTCACAGTTTTAGAAGCCTCTATTATGTCTATTATATGTCTATTATATAGACTCTCTCTCTCTATATATATAATAGACTATATGTCTATTATAGACATGCTTCTTTGACCCTTGCTGGTTACTGATTGTGTTGGCACGTCACCCTTCACCTGTGTCTGATTCCCTTTGTCCTGCATTCTTCCCCCCGAATCTAATTATCCTGCCCATTTTCACAACATTGGTTATTACCTCGCCACTGTCAGTTTTATCTTTTTCCACAGATGCTTTATACTCGGACACCATTTTCTTCGAGCACTTTTTATTCTCTCTCCCTGTTCAAGACGGTAGTGTTTATTTGTAAAACACCTCAAAACTAAGCACAGATTCAACAGTTCACCTTACATCCAAAGTGTAATTCAGAGGATGAACCCGAAGACCACCCTCAATTGACAGGCCAGCTAT